GTGTGTGTGTGTGTGTGTGTGTGTGTGTGTGTGTGTGTGTGTGTGTGATATGATATGATATGAATGTTCACGTGCACATCTCTACATACAAGTGTGTATACTTGTGTGTGGAGGCCAAATGTCATTCCTCAGCAGCTATGTATCTTACTTGTTGGGACAGAGCCTCATTGGCTGATCAGGGAGCCCCAGGGCTGGGATTAGAAGCATGCATAACAATGCTTAGCTTTTTTTTTTTTTTAAAAAGGTGTGTTCTAGGGATCAGACTCAGATCCTTCTGCTTGCCCAGCACATACTTCACTTACTGGCTTCCTTCCCCAGCTTCTGTGTTGTTGTTTTTAAATATACAGCAGTGGTTCAATTAATGTGTTGTGCTATATCAGACTCTGACAAAGAGCCGTTAGGCAATTAATTTTAGACATTAGATAGCTCTTGCAGGGTTCCTAGTGTAATGAGCTTTAAAATGCTATCATTTTGAAACTAGCAGGCGGAGGGGCTAGCTAGATGGCGCAGCCATTAAGAGCACTTGCTGTTGGTCTTCGTTTGTGATGATCACACAACCAAAGGCAACTTGGGAAGGAAAGGCTTACACTTCTGTGTCAGGGTCCACTACTGAGGGCAGCCAGGGCAGGAGCCATGGCACCACACATGGTGCCTGAGCCCTCCCACACCTATCAGTAATCAAGAAGTGCCCCACAGACTTGTTCACAGGCCAGCCCAATGGGGCACTTTTCAATTGAAGTTCCCTCTTTCTAGGTGATCCTACCCTCTGTCAAGTTGACAAAAAAATAGACAACAGCAAAACCCCACTAACCAGCACACTGCTCTTCCAGAAGAACTCAGTTTGCTTCCAAAAAACTGTCTGGGTAGCTCATAAGCACTTGCAACTCTGGCTCCTTGAAACTGCTTGAGGGGATCTGTTGGCCCTTCTTGGACTCTGTGGGTACCTTACAGACATGTCTCTCTCTCTCTCTCTCGCACATACACCACCCCTTCCTATCCCCCACTATACAGAAATAAAGTAAATATTTGGTGAGGGGACCTGCATTCAGACATGGTGGTGCATACTGTAATCTCAGCACTGGAGAGCAAGAGGCAGAAAGGTTAGGAGTTTAAGGACATCCTCAAGTACGTAACAAATCTGAAGGCAGCCTGGGCTAGGTGATGCTCTGCTTCAAAACAAGAAATAAACAAAAAGAATCCAGTCTAGGGATGTTTCTCAGTTGGGTAGGGTGCTTCCTTCCATGCAGGGAGTCCTGGGTTTCATTTGTAGTACCACAGAAGGCATGATGGTGCACTCTTGTAGGGGTGGAGGCAGGAGGATGTGGACTTCATGATCATCCTCGGTTATGTAGTGGGCTTGAGGCCTGGCCGGTCTGGGCTATGTAAGATGGAGAGGTGGGAAAAGAACCTGCTGACTAGGCCTTTATGACAAAGTGATGACCTGTGTGGGGAATGGTATTAATTTTTGACTAAATGGGACCTGACTGTACCCTCAAACTGGACTTGGCAGTCCTACTTCTGCCATGACACATTTCTGATGTAGGAAGCAGGTGCCACCATTTAGCAGAGTCTCTGCGAGGCCAGGCTGTTTTTCTGGCATTTGAAGGCTTTGTTCTCACGTTGTTCACAGTGTTGACCAGCCCCCTCACACCCGCACACCACTCCCGAGTTGTTCGCTAATATCTCTTGTTGTCTGCTGTTCTCCTGGTTTCACCCTCTCTCCTTCCTCTTGCTTTAGAAACAGATGCAGTCAGACCCACACAAGCTGGACTTTGGGCTGAAACCTGAGTTCCTGAGCCGTCCTCCAGGCCCAAGTCTCTTTGGAGCCATCCACCACCCCCACGATCTGGCACGACCTTCCACTTTGTTCTCTGCCGCTGGTGAGTTCAGAGGGTGGGGTAACTAAGGAATAGAATTTATACCAGCTCGTGAGGTAGTACCCCACGTCGCCAGGAGGGTGGCCCTGCTTCATTGATATACCCGTTTCATGCAGTAAGGACCAAGGGATGATCAGGCTGGTGAGGTGGCGCATACTTGTACCTACAACAGTGGGGAAGCAGAGACAGGCCAGTCTCTGGCATTCGCTGGCCAGACGGTCCCAAGCTAATTGGAAACCCTGCCTCAAAGAACAAGGTGGCATTGAGTGTGGTGGCCCACGCCTTTAATCCCACACTTGGGGTGCAGAGGCAGGCAGATCTTGCTGAGTTTGAGGCTACCTAGGAAGTTCCAGGGCAGCCAGGACTACATAATGAGACCCTGCCTCAAAAAACTGAAACCAAACAAGGTAGACAGCACCTGAGGAATCCCGTCTACAGTTCACCTCTGGCCTTTGTACACGTGTGCACATGTGCCTGCACACACATGAGTCATACACACACGAAGAGGTCGCCTTTGCCTTGCAACACTTGCATTGCCTTAGCTTGTCATTTGTTCCCATGTTAAACGGACGCAACTCAAAGGCATGTGAAAAAGCTACTGAAGAAGATCAGAAAGCTTGCCAGGGCAGATTGGAAGGGCAGTAAATCCAGGGATCCTGTAAGGATGAACTCAGCCTCACACTTCCATTGCCCACAGGACAGTTAGTGACTGCTTTCTCACCGTGGTGATCACACTGCTTTTTGAGGGTCCGAGGATGGAAGAAGCGTGTAGTTAAGACAGGTGGCTTCATGTGTTTGGTGGCTCAGGTCTGTCGAGCCAGCACTTGGGAAGCAAAATCAGGAGAAACACAATATTGAGAGCAGGCCTGGGCTACACAGTGAGTTTCAGCACAGCCTGGGCCACGGTTTCTCAAGACAAACAGGCAGGGTTAAGGATATAGCTCAGTTGATAGAGAAGTTGCCTAGCTAGCAACTCGACCCTGGGTTCCATCTGCAGCACAGAATAAATTGAGCATGGTAGTGCACACCTATCACTCCACTGTTTCAGGTACTGAGACAGGCAAATCAGGAGTTCACGGTCATCCTCAGTACATAGTGAGTTCAAAGCCAGCCTAGCCTACATAAGCCTCTGTCTCAAAAAATAAGAGGACTGTCCCTTTCTACTTAAGGTACACACAGGGAAAATGTAGTGGTTTTATGGAATACCTGGGTAATGTCGTAGTTTATGTCTATGCTATAGCAAATACTTTGAACAAACAAACAAACTAAAAAAGCAACTCAGGGAGGAAAGGGTTCATTTGGCTTACACTTCCAAGATGCAGTTCCTCATTGAAGAGAAGTCAAGGCAAAACCCAAAGCAGTTAGTCATATTACATCCACAGGAAAGAGAGAATTACCACATCCTAGCTGCTTGCCCTCAAAGTCTGGTCTGATGTAGCCTAAACTGGCCTTGACTCAGGGCCCTGACTAGGGAATGGTGTTGTCCACAGAGGGCCAGGTCAGTTAACAGTCAAGACATTTCCTCACAGGCATACCCACAGGCCAACCTGATCTAGAAAATTCCTCAGTTGGAATTTTCTAGCAGGTGATTCTAGGTTGCGGCAAGTTGATGGTTAAAACTGACCATCATAGGACTGGCTGTGTGGCTCACCAAGTAAAAGCAATTACTGGAAATTTCTGTCGATAGTTTGACTCCCTGGGGCTCATATGGTGGAAGGAGAGAACTAATTCTTGAAAGTTGTCCTTTGACCTCCGCTCATAAGTGCCGGAGGCTGCAGTGTAAGTACTATACACATACCCACAAATAATCAGCCAGCCTAAGTCCTATCAGTACCAAGTGTCCTTAACAACTTGGTGTTTTCTTTCCTTTTTTGAGACCTGGAGCTCCCTATGTTGAACAGGCTGAGCTTGAGCTTAGTCTGCTTCAGACCCCTGAGTACTAAGATGACAGTTCTGTATCACACCTAGCCACTGTTCCGTCTTTTTGGTTTTTCAAGACAGGGTTTCTCTGTGTAGCCCTGGCTGTTCTGGACTCACTCTGTAGACCAAGCTGGTCTTGAACTCAGGATCCTCCTGTCTCTGCCTCAAGAGTGCTGAGAGTGTGTCTACCACATCTGGCTTTCTCTCTTGCCCCACCCCGACTTGAGGCAGTGTCTGGTGTAGCCTAAGCTGGCCTTGAACTCTCTATATAGCCCCAGCTGATCTTAAACTTCCGGTCCCCCTGTCCGAACTTACTGAGTGCTGGATCACAGGCCATGTGCCACCACACCTAGTTTATGTGGTGCTAGGGACTGAAGCCAGGTCTTCGTGGGTGCTGGGAAAGCACTTTACCAAATGAGCTACGTCTCCAGCCCACTTAGTGTGTGTGTGTGTGTGTGTGTGTGTGTATAAAGATTAATTTATTTATTATGTATACAATGTTTTGTGTGCATGTGTGCCTGTAAGCCAGAAGAAGGTACCAGACCTCATAGGTGAGCCACCATGTGGGTGCAGGGAATTGAACTCAGGACCTCTGGAAGAGCAGCCCGTGCTCTTAACCTCAGAGCCATCTCACCAGCATCACCCCCAACACACACACACACACACACACTCTCTCTCTCTCTCTCTCTCTCTCTCTCTCTCTCTCTCTCTCTCACTCATTCAGTATATCTTAAAGCATCTCTGGGTGCTCATTTTTTGCCACAGAGCTTAGTAAATAGTTAAGAGTGGTGGTACAAGCACGGTGGCTTCGAGTGCTTACTGAATGAATCTGAATTTACCCTCAGAAACAAAAGCGGTGAAGAGTCCGCCATTTCTGACCCCTAGGGGACATGCTCCGCATCTATCCTGCCTGCTGCCTTCTCAGGCTCTGGTCTGAGATTTGAGTTTGATGGACCCTTTGACTCTTGTACTGGCCAGCAGAGAAGTATGGACATCAGTGCAGTAGCCCTGTGGTCAGAGCAAATAAATCACCCCTGGGATGGATGGAATCATCAGCGTCTCTGGTTTTCCTCCTGGGTTTTGCTTGGGGAATGTATTTGAAGGCTCTGTTTCCATGGTACCCTGCTCAGAGACAAGGATACATGGAGAGCAATTTTGGGAGAGAAATAGAGAGATTTCTCCCTGGATTTCATTGCAGCCAAATGGATGAATTGGCTTCTTTTGCTTCAATAATCCTAGAACTGTGGGTGTCCCCAGGGTCCTGGGTTTTTGTCAGAGCATTAACTAGCATGTACTACACAGTATGTGGCCCACACTTTATTCGGCTGGCAGCACTGTGGTGACTAATGAAGGCTGTGGAATATGTTCACTTTGTGCAGGGGAGAAGTTTGTTTTTAGTTCTCAGTACCATGCAGATAGATAGCCCCACAGGTGCCTGCAAATCCCGAGATTCCAGCATTTGTCCTGTGTGCTGAGCCTTACCCTGCAAACCCAAGTCCACAGGACCCTTGGGGTCTCCGGGGACCCAAAAGAGACATGGAGGGCAGAGATGGTTCAGTATAAAAGTGTTGGTCATGCTTTCGCAGCCTCCTCGGGGCAGCCTTCCCAGGCAGCATTAACAAGTTACTCTTGAAGCTTTTAGAAATACTGACCTTCCCCAGTTCATACACACACGCACGCATGCTTGTGCGTGTCCTTCTGTTCTTTACTCCCCTTCTCTCCCAGCTTCCTGCAGGAAAGGGATCTAATGCATTTCAAAGGGATATAAATATAAATATGAATTGAGGGACTGGAGAGAGGTTCTGTAGTTAAGAGCATTTACTACTATTGAAGAAGACCTGGGTTTGATTCCCAGCACCCACGTGGTGGCCTAAAACTGTTTGTTACTTCACTTCCAGGGAATCTAACACCTTCTGGCCTCTGCAGGAACCAGGAATGTGTGTTGTACATATGTGTACATGCGGGCAAAACAGTCGTCCATATAACAAATTTTCAATAATAATAATTGGGGGCAGGAGTAAAGGCGTTTGCCACCAAACCTATCAACTGAGTTCCATCCCTGGGTTCCATATGGTGGAAGGAGAGAACCAGTTCCCCCAAGTGGTTCTTTGGCCTCCACACACGCACTGCAGCATGCATGTACTTCACACATAAATACATGCGTACATGCTAAGTTTGTAAATGTAATTTAAAAATTCAAATTGACCAAATAGAAAAAGAAGATGTGGTCACTGTGGCATACACACACACACACACACACACACACATACACCGTAAATATAATTTTAAAATTCAGACTGACCAAATAGAAAACAAAGAAGATGTAGTCCTATAAAGGGATCTATAGATGAAACTTAGGTTCCCTGGCAGGCAATGTAAGGACTATTAAAGCCAGTTGCTGGATCCTTGGTGTCTCACAGGGCCCAGGCTGACCTTGAACTCCTGGTATGTGGCATGTGCTACATTATGCAGTGCTGGGGATGGAACCCAGGGCTTTCTGCTTCCTTGTCAAGCACCCTACCAACTGAGCCACACTGAGGATTTGGGGATTCAAAGTCGGAATAAAGCATCTTTTCCTGGCACTGGAAATTAACAGGCATCCGAAGGCTTAGCCTCCCATCTTTTAGAGTCAGCTCCCAGCAGTGCATTTAGCAGTGTTGTGCCGTGTGAGAACCTTTACACCCCCACACCCCTCAGGAGTAAGAGTGGGATTTGGCAAGAGACTCCTTAGTGCGTCACTGTCTGCAGCTTCAGGTCCACCGATGAAGTGAAAAACGTGTCCCTGCTGTGCTGAAGAAGGGAGCCCCTGACCCACTCCTCTACATCAGAGGTGCCTATGCAGTCCTTCAGGGTGAGCGCACTTCAGCGTCTGTAAGCCTGCCGTGACTGCAGACAGACTTGGTTATGGAGGCTTCCTGTGTCCCGGCTGTACCCCACCCCACTAACCAGGCCTATGCTTGTGCCATCAACTTCATACAGAGATCCTTTTGGGGCCGTGGTCGGCTGGTGAGGTGCTCACCGCAGAGCGCGAGGACCTGAACCCTTATAGCTAGGCATGGCAGCGCGTATTTATGAGCCCAGAGCTGGGGACATGGAGCCATGAGAGTCCTTGGGACTCACTGTGAGCCAGAGCACCAGAATCAGTAAGAATCCCCAGGGTCAGAGATACACTTTCTCTCAAAAAAAAAAAGAAAAAATGATGGTAGAGCGTGACTGACTCCACACACATACATGTGCACGTATGTGCACACACACATGCAGCAAATGCCTTTTCTCGGGGTGGCGGCCATTTTCGTTTGCTTTCTACTGCTGTGATAACGTCCCAACCAAATGCAACTTGGGGAAGCAACCGTTTACTTCAGCCTACAGTATCATGAAAAGAAGTCGGGGCAGGAACCGAAGCAGAGATCATGGGGGATCATCACCGACTGGCTTGCTCTACAGGCCCTCATTCACTGACCCTTTCTTAGACCACTCAGGACCACCTGCCCAGGAATGACACCGCCCACAGTGGGCTGGGCCCTCCTGCATCTATTAATGGAGAAAATGTCCCAATGGCCTTGCCTCCAGACCAAGCTGTTTGGGGCATCTTCGCAATTACAGTTTCCTCTTCCCAGATGACCCCGGCGGGCCGCCAGTCCAGCTGGGAAAGATGGGAGGGGTGCCTTTACTGTGTCCCCCATTGTCTTTTACCCAGGTGTACCTGCAGCGGCTGGGAATGCACTGAAATTAGACTTCAACATATTATCTTTGGTCCCCCCTAGCACGGGCTTTCTCTAAAACTCCAACTTCACTCTGACTTTGCCTTTGCAGGTGCTGCGCATCCTACTGGGACCCCTTTTGGGCCACCACCTCATCACAGTAACTTTCTCAACCCTGCTGCTCACCTAGGTGAGTCAGAAAGATGGAGGGATCCGCCCTCCAGCCTAGTCATGGCACCTGCTAAGCCTTCCATTTGAGGGGCCCCGGTGGGGGTGGGGCATGGTGGCAGCAGTGGGAGGCAGCTGGTCACAGTGTGCACTCCGGAAGCAGAGGGAGATGGGTGCCGGCTCGGCTCACTTCCGGACTCAGTTCAGTGCCCTACCCTGCGGGCTGGTGCCACCCACACTGAGGGTGGGCCGTTCCGTCTCAGCCTAATCTAGACACCTCCTCGCAGCTGTGCCCAGGGCTTGTCTTCCAGGTGGGTCTAGATCCAGTTACTTTGGCTTTCAGTGTTAGCCATGACAAGGGGCTTGGGGCAGGGAAGTGTTCCTTGGCATCCCAGAGCATGTGTGTTCAGGGTGGGCTCCTCCTGCCTGACCCCACCTCAGGGTCCTCCTAATAGCTAGAAAGATACAATGAGTGTTGTTAAGAGAGCTGCATCAGAGGGCTGCACTCTTTGCTTCGGCTTCCTCACACTTTTTTTTTTTTTTTTTTTCTTTTTTGAGACAGGGTCTTTCTACATAGCCAGGAATGTCCTGGAACTCATTCTGTAGACCAGGCTGGCCTCAAACTCAACAGAGATCCACCTACCTCTGCCCCCTGAGTGCTGGGATTAAAGGTGTGCACCACCATGCCCAACTTTTATTACTTATTTTTACTTTATATGTATAAGTGTTTTGCCTGCATTAATGTCTGTGCTTGTGCCTGCATTGCCCTCAGGGGCCAGAAGTGGGTGTCAGGTTCCCTGGAACTGGAGTTAAAGACTATTGTGAGCTCTCATGCTGGGGTGCTGGGAATCAAGCCCCAGGTGCTTTCTCCAGCCTGGCAGCAGCCCGTTTTTGTTCATGCGTGTAATCTCAGCACCCAGAAGGCAGAAATAAGGCAGGAGCATCAGTTCAAGGCTAGCCTTGACTTATATCAAGTTTGAAGACAGCCTGAGTTAAATGATGTTAAAAAAAAAAAAGAAAGAAAGAAAGACTGAAACAGAGACAGGAACATTTCATAGACAAGAGAGCAACTGAGAGCACTGGGTTCTGAGTTTGCCCAGTGCCATCCCAAGTGCAAAGCTAAATCCATGCAAAGGATGGCACTCTGGAAAATCACCCTCCCGGAACTCTTGCTAACCCAGTGCCTAAGTCCAGATGCAGAAATAGTTCATCAGGAGAGTCAAGGTGCAGCAGAGAGGGTCTGTCGCTTTCCCAGCTCCCAAGACACGCGTGTTCCTCACTCACAAGTGCCTAACTGCCATCTCTTCCTTCCTGGTCTCATCCGCAGAGCCTTTTAACCGGCCATCTACGTTCACGGGCCTCGCCGCAGTGGGTGGCAACGCCTTCGGGGGACTTGGAAACCCTTCAGTTAGTGAGTACCTCTCGATTGTTATATCTCCCTTCTGCAATTTCTCTGACCCATATATGGCTTTAGACCTTTGGAAGACAAGGGAAACTTTTCTTTGGGAAAACTAATTTAAGCTGAGTATATGGGTCAGTGACAGAGCGCTTGTCTGAACTCCTCCCAGTGAGGGAGGGCATGGCTCAATGATAAAAGAGCTTGCCTAGCATGGGCAACGTCCCGAGTTCCCTCCCCACACCACCAAAAATCACTTAGAAACAGAGGAAGGGAAAAAAAGAAACGGGGAAGGGGCAGGCGTGGTAGCACACGCCTTAAATCCCAGCCCTGAGGAGGCAAGAGACAGGCAGGTCTCTGAGTTTTGAGGCTAACCTGGTCTATAGAGAGAGTTCCAGGCCAGCCAGAGCTGCGTAGTGAGACCCCATTGAAACCAAAGTGAAAATGAAGGTACCTTGAAAGGGTAATGTCACTTCCAGATAGAGAGATGTGGCCAAGTGGGTAGGAGCTCTTGCTGCTCCTTCAGAGTACCCAGGCTTGGGTCTCAGCACCCACATGACGACTCATAACCATCTGCAGCTCCTGCTCCAGGGCGTATGACGCCTTCTGCTGGCCTCTGTAGGCCGAGCACCAGGCACACGCATGGCACACATAATAACCACGCAGGCAAAAACCCATACACACAAAGTAAAAATAAATATATGTGTGTGGTATTATTATTATCTGCTGCTGCTGCTGCTGCTGCTGCTGCTGCAACGAGTTCAGGTTAGAGCACCCCCAAACAGGTTTAACGTGAAGCTGGGTGTAAGTACATAAGCCCCCTTGGAAGCAGAGCACCCTGTTGATGGTCTGTGCATCGCAGAGTGGTGACCAGCTGGGTCACTACAAGAAGTCTGCTTTGGTCACAGCTCAAAAGAAGAAAATATTTCATTTCACTTTTGAGGTAACAAGGTTGGAAAAAGTCCCGTGGGGGATAAAGAGCCTAGGGATGTGACTCAGCGGTTAGAGCGCCTGCCTTACATGCGGCAAGTTTTCTATCCCCAGAACCACGTGAGCAGAGTGAGGTGGCGAGAGCCTGCGATCGCAGCACTTGGGAAGCTGGAGGCAGCCTCATCATCCATAGTTATTTAGGGAGTTTGGGGCCAGCCAGGATCCATAGATCTGGTCTTGAAAAGAAACGACAGAGCGAGAGAGAACGCATGCGGACCTGTGCATTGTTTAGGACGAAATCCTGCATGGTCTTTTTGGATTCATTTTACCCACTGCTGGAAGGAAGTAGCACTCAGCAGGGTGTGGTAGGCAGAGGACCAGTGGATCCTGTGAACTGACCTGTTCGTCTGTCATATGGTCATAACGTACCTCTCTGCATGCCTGGAACTTTTGCATGCCCACACATATCTGATGGGGTATCCGCATACCTGCTCGGTCCCGTCTCACTTTTTCCTCTTCGTTGACTTCTTTTTTTAAAGCTGTGAGCTGCCTCTGCAGTGTGGGACAAGAGTTCCTCTAATGAGTGTGTTAATCTCCTTTCCTTTTCCAGCTGCCAATAACATGTATTCATTTTAACTCTGAATGCTGTTAAAGTTTTTGGTAAGTACCTTCACTCCGGCAGGTTTCTATTGAGATTTCTCTGAAACCTTTTTTGTTCTCCACTTCACCATTTCAGCACCCAACTCAGTGTTCGGCCACAAGGATAGCCCCAGTGTGCAGAACTTTAGCAATCCTCACGAACCCTGGAACCGGCTGCACCGAACGCCTCCGTCGTTCCCGACCCCTCCGCCCTGGCTGAAGCCAGGGGAGTTGGAGCGCAGTGCGTCCGCTGCAGCCCATGACAGAGATAGAGATGTAGATAAACGAGACTCCTCCGTTAGTAAAGATGACAAGGAAAGGTACGAAAAGCAACCGCTCTCGAGTCCCGCTGGGGAAGCCCGCCCTGTGCCACACGTCAGTCAGAACCAGCTACCTCCCTCTCCCCTGCCCCAGCCTCTGTCCAGGCCTCGCGCTTAAGACCTCTAGCTCCCCCGTCCCTTTCCAGTCAGTACCGGCAGCCCTCCCTTGCACTCCATGGTACAGAGCAGATGGTGACTGTAGCTCATCCCTAGGAAATAGGGCAAGGAGCCCATCTCAGAAGCAGTGAGACATACAAGCCACCCCAAATCCCTGAAACATTAGCGTGTCCAAGTAGACATCTTCCTGTAGACAAGCAGTGGGAGCTCGGAGCCAGACACACACACACACACACACACACACACACACACACACACACACACACACA